TTTTTTTTAAATTCTTTGCAATCCTTTTATCAAATGACGTATCTTGTACCCGATAAAAAAGATATAATAATATAAATATAAATATATATATAATTTAGTCCGATTCTGCCCCGAATGGCGATCATGTAATTGCAATCATTTTATCAAATATATCTTATACCCGATAATGATACTTTAATGTATCTAATCAGAGACGTATAAAGCCATAACTGTGTTATATACGTATCTGATCTAATATATATATTCATTAATATATAGGCCTATATAAAAATTAATAGATTTCTGCCCGTTCCTGTAAATCGTCGAACCCCTAGTCACGGCAATTCGGTGATGTTTTCGGCACCAAATCGCATATTTCCCGATAAAATATGGCAGATGGAAGTAAATAACGTCTACAAAGGTTATATTTCACAGTAATAAAGAAGTATTTGGTTCATAATTGGGTCGTATGGGGTAGTATTGGGTAGTATTGGGTGGTATTGGGGAGTATTGGGTCATAATCACGGCAATTCAGTGATGTTTTCCGCACCAAATCGCATATTTCCCGATCACAAAGGTGATATTTCACAGTAATAAAGAAGTATTTGGTTCATAACTGGGTCGTATGGGGTAGTATTGGGTGGAATTGGGTAGTATTGGGTGGTATTGGGGAGTATTGGGTGGTATTGGGTAGTATTGGGTAATTAGACGCGCCGAAAATTTGACACTAATTTATCTGCACTTGTTGGCTATCAGTTCTTTTGACATGTTATAGCTATCAGTGATTTGTTTCCACATACAAGTCTACTAACAGGATATGGCACTAATGCTCCATTTAAATATTTTGACTAATGCATCGCATAATTGCAAGCTGAAGCTTACTTTTCATACTTCATGGGAAAAACATAGTTTACACTTAAAAGGAGTAAAAAGGATGACTGATTTTTTTCACTTTCAGAATCCATAAATAAGGGAAAACTTACGACACATCTCAGCGCAATGAAACACGGAAAGAGAAACTGATAAAATTTTGGTTTGGTTTGTTTATGTTTTACATCCTAGTACCTGGCAGGCGACTGCCCCACGCAGTGGTAGCAGAATGTCGTACGCCTTAACCACTTGGCTACCGTAGCCACTTAAAATTGCAGTTGTTTGTCTTCTTCTTGTGCTTGGAATCAGCATGAATAAATTAGTAAACAAAAACATTATATAAATTAAACATACATATATTATTCAAACATACATGTATGTGGTCCCTCTGAATAATATGCGTCACTCACTTTGGCAAAAAATACTAGCCGCTTCCTACCAACCTAGGGTGAATTTCTGTATAGCTCATTTGATAGAGTGCAAGAGTATTATCCAGACCCAAATGGTGTTTCAGAGTTCAATATTTAGATATAGTTAAGTGTGTTTTGGCCCCACACCAAACATCCGACAGTCAAAATGACAAGTCGTCTGGTGTTGGGACCAGGAAAATCATCTTTACTACTTTTCTTTATTGGCTCTGCTCATTGTTTTTAGTGTAACAGAAAAGGAAAGAGAAATGCTTTCAGACTGGGAATCAAACTTGGAACCCTCCAAACTCTAGACGAATGCTCCAACAATGGAGGGACTTGGTTGCCGATGATCGACAAAGTCCAGTTCTGCTACAAATTTCTCCCTCCTTTTTCTAGGTCTTCGTCCCACAAAAAACCTCTCAGAACTCTACACCGACGCTCTACCAAATGAGCTGGTTGTCAATTGATCCAATCCAGGTCTGCTAGTGCTTAGCCCAAGTTTCCTCTGGCCCTGACACCAGAGGTAGACAATTCAACAGATAGATGTCTGGTGTCAGGGCCAGAGAAAAGCTGTGCTGGCAGTACCTGGAGACTTACAATTTATTATGGATTCTAAAAAAGTTTTCAAATTGATCAATGAATGAGCATTTATCTGATGGTTCTAATTTCAATCTTTAAAGCAAAAATATGTTAGCTTCCTGCCAATGGATATTTCAGTGCACTACGAAGTTATGAACAACTATGATTTAGCGATGGCAATCACATATAATCTCCAACAAGAGATTTAAATGAGGTGTAGCCCTGCTTCATTTAGAAGTACATATTAAGAGACTTTGTCAAAGAAATCATTCAGTACAAAACCTTGAGAGAATATACAAAATGAAAACGGTTTGGTCATGATAACACAAGTTGTATTAAAAGTAGAAAGTCCATTAATATTAAAAGTGATCAGGTGATAGTGAATGTGATTGTCAGGTGATGTGGAACGATAAATGAGTGTTTATAATTGTTCTTTAAAGTATAGTTTGAATATTCCATGAGCTAGGTAAATTATAAATCCATTTGAAAGGATTGTTGTAACCTATACAAAACAGTAGGCATAGCAGTACACACGGATGGTAAACAAAATAAACTTACAACAGAAAGCTCATCCTGAGAGATGCGGCACTAGGTGAGATAGAAAGAAGTTTTGAGATATTCTTAATTGAATACCTTACACATTTAAAATAAAAATATCATCTGATGCGTCGATGACAACCGATTTCTTTTGAATTGTTGATCCTATTATCTTTCAAAAACTTTTGTGACCGGAAATGACAAAGAAATGCGGAAGTAAATATGTCAGTGGTTAGATCAAATTTACATATAAAATACATCAAACATCCGTGATTCATGCTTAAAAATATAATAATGCAAAATCAGAAAAATTCACATAGGATTACACTGATTCTTTTAATTCTGTGACTTTTTTTATCGAAACACCCATAATACAATATTTCCGGTATGCGCCATTTTCCATTTCACCGAAACCTACCGCGTCCTGTACATCGCATTTAAAATCGTGAGTTTACTGAGAAAAACTATTATATTTGTACACATATCTCATGCTTTATGTGCAGTTATTGGTGTTGAACATTTTTGAATCATTGCAATATATGTAAATGACGTTTTCAGTTAGATTTTCTTCAAAATCATTTTGTTCACGCATCGATCGGGATCAACAATGGCCACACGTGCTCTGTAAGGGACTTACAGTAGAGTTAATTGCTACAAGTGTCTGAAGTAAGGCAAAAACTGAGATTGGGACGTTTTAAACGGACTCCTTCATTTATGTTAACTAATTGAGTAAATGCAATCTGTGCAATAGACTTTTTGGTTGAGAATTCAAGACGTGTATGTACCAGGTGAGGTAGTTCAGGCACTGTAGTCTGTATTGTGAAGGAGTAAAAAATCTTACAAAATATAGAAACGATTTTTGTGAAGTACCGAAACATCTTACCAAAGTACCGTTACGTCTGCAGGTCCAGGACACTCTGCCGATTGAGCTATATAGCTGTAAATACCTATAATAGCTCGATTGACCTATCTGAAATAGGTCTTTTGAGCTATTTTCAAGTGATTTTCGTTTTGAAGGAAAACAAACAAAGTCGCTTTTAAAATAAGATTACATCNTATTAAAAGTGATCAGGTGATAGTGAATGTGATTGTCAGGTGATGTGGAACGATAAATGAGTGTTTATAATTGTTCTTTAAAGTATAGTTTGAATATTCCATGAGCTAGGTAAATTATAAATCCATTTGAAAGGATTGTTGTAACCTATACAAAACAGTAGGCATAGCAGTACACACGGATGGTAAACAAAATAAACTTACAACAGAAAGCTCATCCTGAGAGATGCGGCACTAGGTGCGATAGAAAGAAGTTTTGAGATATTCTTAATTGAATACCTTACACATTTAAAATAAAAATATCATCTGATGCGTCGATGACAACCGATTTCTTTTGAATTGTTGATCCTATTATCTTTCAAAAACTTTTGTGACCGGAAATGACAAAGAAATGCGGAAGTAAATATGTCAGTGGTTAGATCAAATTTACATATAAAATACATCAAACATCCGTGATTCATGCTTAAAAATATAATAATGCAAAATCAGAAAAATTCACATAGGATTACACTGATTCTTTTAATTCTGTGACTTTTTTTATCGAAACACCCATAATACAATATTTCCGGTATGCGCCATTTTCCTTTTCATCGAAACCTACCGCGTCCTGTACATCGCATTTAAAATCGTGAGTTTACTGAGAAAAACTATTATATTTGTACACATATCTCATGCTTTATGTGCAGTTATTGGTGTTGAACATTTTTGAATCATTGCAATATATGTAAATGACGTTTTCAGTTAGATTTTCTTCAAAATCATTTTGTTCACGCATCGATCGGGATCAACAATGGCCACACGTGCTCTGTAAGGGACTTACAGTAGAGTTAATTGCTACAAGTGTCTGTAGTAAGGCAAAAACTGAGATTGGGGACGTTTTAAACGGACTCCTTCATTTATGTTAACTAATTGAGTAAATGCAATCTGTGCAATAGACTTTTTGGTTGAGAATTCAAGACGTGTATGTACCAGGTGAGGTAGTTCAGGCACTGTAGTCTGTATTGTGAAGGAGTAAAAAATCTTACAAAATATAGAAACGATTTTTGTGAAGTACCGAAACATCTTACCAAAGTACCGTTACGTCTGCAGGTCCAGGACACTCTGCCGATTGAGCTATATAGCTGTAAATACCTATAATAGCTCGATTGACCTATCTGAAATAGGTTTTTTGAGCTATTTTCATGTGATTTTCGTTTTGAAGGAAAACGAAACAAAGTCGCTTTTAAAACAAGATTACATCATTAGGTTGATATATATCATCTTTATTTCCTCTAAATTGGAGAGCATGATACAATGATAGTACATGAATAATACATTATTTACAAAACAACAATCGTGACATTCATACAAATTCACAAACGTATATATACTTAATGTATACTTTTTATAGCCAACATTACCATAAACCTTATTGTTTTATGCGACTTTGTTTTGATTAAATGAAAATTGAAATCTGAGAAATTATAGCTCAATACAGCGGCAGATATCAGCAAAGACATTTGTGGGCCGAGGGAGCTTCTGTGGAAGTTTTGATGTCTGAACACAAAATTGCACAATATAATAAAGATGTAATTTTCGTAGTCTCACTTCACTCTAATGTGTTGTCAACACTATGCGCACATATTTCTGTGCATCACTTCCGGTAGGAATACTGACGATAGTTGCCGGTGAATGATGAGTTCAAGTTGTTCAACAGAATGTCAGTCGATATTATGTTTCCATTCAAAGTTTATTGTTTACATGCCCTCAATAGTAAAACAAGTATACTGATCACAAGTGTTTTCGAGATCTGTCAATCAGCAGTCAGGAGCGACATCTCTGACCCGGAAGTCAATAAATACTGACCTACATTTTGGGATGGTTTGAGGTTACGTAGATTTCCTAACTGGATAGAAATCGGGTACTCGGTTACCCGTTTCAGCCCTGGATAAAACCATGGATCTACTAGTACCTTATGCTTTATTTTCTGCTGTTTACAGATGGGTGATGATGATGGTTGTGTGGTACGTCTGAGAGGCCTTCCTTGGTCAGCAACAGCCCAGGAAGTCCTAAAATTCTTTGGAGGTAAATTCTAAAGTATTTTTGTTGTCTAAAGCAGATTGCACTTATAATAACATTTGGGTTTAATTTGTAACCTGTTTTATGTATGAATTGCACCTATAACATCCTGCAATATATTGATGCGGTTCAAGGCTAATGGAAAGTAAATGGACTTAAAGTAAAGCTCTTATTTTTTTAATGTTTGTTTGTGGTATGAACCTCATTCAAAGTAGATCATTTGTAATTAGTTATATTTTTTATTCAGATGATGTGGCTGTTGTTGGAGGCGAGAATGGAGTGAACTTCACCTTCTCAAGGGAAGGCAGACCTAGTGGGGAGGCCTTTGTGCAAATGGTTGATGAAGCAAATGTACAGAAATCACTTGAAAAACACAATCAGCACATGGGAAACCGATACATTGAAGGTACTTGTTTTTGTCAAGGCCAACATTAAAATATTCTGTTTTGTATTGACTAACTCACCATTTGAAGTTTAGGTTGGTAGATAGGAACTTAAATTCAGTGTTTGAACTTAGACCCATAGACAATTGCTTTGAAAAACACTGTAGGTCTATGGAAATTATTTACTCATAGACCAAGTTGTGTATGAAACTATTTCCTATGTGTATAAGTTTAGTAGTAAAGTAAAAGTTTCTTGTTCAAAGTCTATTTTATGAAAAAAATCAGTATGTCTATACTCTATAAAAAATCTGTATCACATACACCTATTGTATATGGTGTGCCGAGTCTAAATTCTAAGCCTGAAAAAGATGGATGGTTAACAATGACCAAATCCAAGGTATTAAAGAAAACAATACTTTATAACTTCTTTAATTTAAAACAGTTTAAACGAAGTATTTAAAGTGAAATTTCAGCTTGACGTTCAGTTGTTGCTAAAACTCTCTCAGAAAAGAATTTGGATCAGCACATAAAACCCCAGTTGGTCAGCCTATGCCATGCAAATTTCATTTCTTTCAAATTGAAATGTTTTTATTAACACACAAAACAAATACAAAGTTGCTGATACATGCTATTTATTTATATTTAGTTTTCAGTTTAAAATACCAAGGACCTTCTCTTTTTCAGTATTTAGATCTAAAACAAGTGAGATGGACTGGGTCATCAAAAGAGCAGGACAGGGACAAATGTCTGGGTCAAACGAGGCTGTTGTCAGACTCAGGGGGCTACCTTTTGGTTGTTCTAAAGAAGAAATTGCACAATTTTTCACAGGTAACATACTTAGTAACATGTGATAACAGAGATACATCCATATCCATCACATAAAGAACAATATTGTATTGATCAGAAGTCTTACAAGGATTTTGTATTGGGGTAATGTGAAAGCAATTTAAAGTGATACATAAATTGTCCCTTTTACTTTTAGACATACTTCATTTTTTAAGAGAAATTCATATGAGAAAAGCAATTTTCTGGGTGTCAAGTTTTATGTTTTGGTAAGTGTTACTGTATGGTAGCTAAGATTAATATGATTGAAACTCTTTTCATAGAATATATGAACTTTTTATTTATGTCACTGTGATGGTTCAGTGTCACTCACAAAAGGGGCTCAGATTTAACCCTTAGGCTGCTACGTGCCTCAATTGCGCTTTCGATAAGTCGGGTTGTCAGATCTACGCACCACATATGTGGTTTCTCCGTCTGTATGTTTTAATCAGTAAACAGGAAGTGTGAAAGCGGATTGTTGCTATACCAAACCCGAATGCTTATAATAGAAGGCTTCTGATTGGTTGTTTTGTCATTACTTTTGATATTCCCCGCAGTGTACCCTAGTAATAACCAAAGGTGTGCAAGAAAATTTAAAATCGAAAAAAACGTCATATAAATGGTGGACGTGTAGATTGAAGCGATGAATATGATGGTTAACATTTATTCTCCAGCGTCACCTAGGATAATGATAAAAGGTTTGACATGGTTGATGTGGAAATACTTCGGTGTAACATAATATGAACATTGAAAGACTTTGTGCCCTACGCAAACATGAAAATATCGGTGGACTGAGGTACACATGTCGTCTGCAGGCGAGGCCGAATTGAACATTGACATTGATTGATTTCTTCAAACTATTTATCGATGATTCAATCATAAACAAGACCGTAGCTAAGATATATCTATATGCTGACTGTGACAGTAAATATATTGAATGACGACCTGAAACCTGTTGCAAATCGCATGTAATTCTTGATGAAATACCTGACCTTTTTACCTGAGAATCTTCGTGTAATTGTACAGCGTCTTCTGTCATAAATGAAGTTTATAATCTCTGTTATCATTTGATAATCACATTTGCTGACAAAAATAATTTTAAAATGATCTTTCTGGTTCTTAAATCTGATTAATTAAAAGTTTCACCTTTTCTTACCTTTATAACCAACTGTACAGGTAAATACTGAAGCAACTTTAGAATTGAAAACGTTAATATAAACTAAAGACAATTAATAACAAACAACTTTTATTCACATATAACAAATATTTTTCACATTTGAAAAATCGGGTAAATTAATTTATATTTTAATAATTATTTCAGCAGTGATTTCCCTCTATATCGAGATCAATGTAGCAGCCTAAGGGTTAAGAGATTTTTAAAAACTGACTTTTTTCATTTCATACTAAGAGGATGTTTTTTTTGTTACATGAGATTAAAATGTTACATTACCGAGGAACCAAATCCCTTCTTGAATATTTTTCAAGTTGTTTGGATAAATGTTTTAAGACGGGATCTTATCTTCAAAATGATAGAATGAAAGTAATCAAGAAATGATACGCAGACAATTTCCTTTGCTACTTAGATGATAATAGTTTGCAGAAAACGGTGTTTTTGATTCACAACAATCCTAGTCTGCAATCATTTTGACACTAATGGGATGCCTACTTGGACAAAGAAACCAAATATTTGCTTATCCAATGCTTCCCATAATAACGTTCTATTGATTTTGTTATTCAATCAAATGACATGACAGAAATGAGGGATATCAACTTATTCTTTAGAAACAGTTCTTAAAACTGTCCACAAATAAATAAATTAGGTAACATAATTTTGTATAAACAGTGTTCCTGGTTGTTATCAATGTTTGTATTTTTGGACACATGTGTGAATTGTGTTTTTGCTGACATGGATGACTGATGGCTTGTTTTGTTGGGGGGTGTAGGGTTGGAGATTGTACCCAATGGGATAATGCTACCTGAGGATCAACAGGGGAGAAGCACGGGGGAGGCCTATGTCCAGTTTGCTGAACCAGACATAGCGGAAAGGGCTTTGCTCAAACACAAGGAACGATTGGGGCACAGGTGATAGGAACGGGCCTTTATGGGGCTTATTATTATTTTCCTCATAGAGCTTTCCCATAGATCTCCCATCTTTTCTAGGCTCCCAGTCTGTTGACTTTGCTATAAGAAAGAAGTCACAACATATGTTTACTTTTAGAAGATTAAAAAAAATCCAGAGTATGCTTTTTGATTAATTGCTATTGTCAAAGAGAATTTTAATTTGCTATCATCCAAATCTGGATTGTAGATGAGTATCTAGCCCCACTTTTGTGAAAACACTCCAGACTAAAACTTGCAGCTAAAACACTGAGCACATTGGATGCTTTAAATGGTTGTAGATGAGATTTTATAGGAGTTTCATAGGAGTTGGGCTAGGTCTTTGAAAGAAAAAGATCAATATTAGTATTAAGTTGAGATCTATGGGTGAAAGCTGGGTTACCTATTCTGGCTGGGTCATGGTTCAACAAGGTATGGCTGGGTCTGGCACACATGTCCTTGGTATGGCCGGGTCTACTTTGGGAGAAGGGACCATGGGACGGTTGGAGAGGTGAGATTAAAAACCCAGTGCACAAAATGCCAAGGATGGGACCAGGCTTTGTTTGAATTCTTTGCAGAAAAATAAAATCTAGATATATTCTAAAAAAAGGTTAATTTTTTCTCAATACACGCAGCAACTCTTTTGAGAAAATCTTTTATTGTCGCACTAGCTTTGAAACTCTGTTATTTGTTGTAAGTGGCTCAACTCACATCAAGGTTTTGGTGATACAATATGCAATCAAAGCTGAATATTTGCGGAATTTTGAAAGCATGTACATGGAATTAAAAAAAAGAATAACCATTGTGGTTGAGCCACTTGTCTTTTGTATATAGAACATTTGAAAATATGGTAAGTTTTGAAATTGATACTTAAGGATAACTTGCAGTATTTGCTTGGAAATATATTTGCTGCAATATAACGTTGGATAAAATATGCCAGGGTATGATGTTATAAGAATAATGAAGTACATCTGGCTTTTCACATATTTGTAATTGTTTTCTACCTGATTTTAATGCACCATAGTTACAATGTTTTGTTTCCCCCTTTTAAATATAGATACATAGAAATATTCAAAAGCAGCATGCAGGAAGCTTTCCAAGCAGTTGGACAGCCCCGAATGATACGTCCTTTGATGAATTCTGGAATGCAGCAGAGACGTGGACCCTATGACCGGAATAACCGAGGCTTTGGAATGGGTAGCGGTAGCGGAGGTGGTGGTGGAATGGGAATGGGAGGTGGAGGAGGAATGGGAGGCTATGGAATGGGACGAGGAGGTCGTAATGTCAAAGGTCTGTACTATTTCTATTGTTTTGTTAGATGTTCTTTAAAAGGAAAGGTGATGGGTCTTTTAAACAAGGTTAATACTTGATTGTTTGTAGGAATCAGCTGTTAAATTACACACAAGGTTTACACAAGCTTGTGAGTGTCTGATTTTAAGGATCAACCTTGATAAATTCAAATTTTAATATCAATCTAAACTGTTATAATGATCAATAGATGGATTTCTCTTTACCTTGACGTTTATTTTTAAGTTTATTTTGACAATAAAATTCCTCAAACTGGGTTTAGTTTTGTTTTCAGTTCAACCTGAGTCTAGTAATACTATGTTGACTTCATTGCAGGATTCTTTGAAGATGACTTTGATGACTACAGTGGTGGTTACGGCGGTATGAGGCAGGGATTTAGTGGCATGGGTAATAGACGAGGAGGAAGTGGCAGCGGAGGTGGTGGAATGGGTGGAATGAGACAGCAACAGCAGAGAGGCGGACGCATGGGAGGAGGAGGGATGCAGCAATTACCAATGAACAACAACAGACCAAGAGGAACAACACCTGGAAGCTCTTATGCCAGCAAGTCTGGTCATTCCGTACATATGAGGGGCCTGCCATTCCAGGCTCTGGAAAATGATATTGCAGAGGTATGCAACATCTTCACTGGTTGTTATTCTAACACTCAACAATGTTAATGTGTGTGTATGTTTGTGTTTGTGTAGTGAGATTTGTGCAACTGGCTTTGCCTCTAAGTTTGTGGTACAACAAGCCAATCAATTTGTTTACACATTTACTGTATAAAGCTAACCAGACTTAAGGCATAAAGTTGTTGATTGTTGGCTCCCATAGTGTCATGATTCATATCAGCATGTTTAACACTGGCAGTAGTGTTACTGACTTGTAGTTAAAATCAGGAAATCAACTAAATATTCCTTTATCAATGAGGAGAAATGAGTTAAGTATAAAAGCACAGTTACACATTGCCAATATGATTCTGAAAACCGACATTTTGTTTCCAATATGATTCTGAAAACCGACATTTTGTTTTAGTGTATGTTAAAATAATTAAGTAGCATTGGAGGGGAAGATTTCAATGTGACATTATTTTGCATTCCAGTTTTTTAAGCCATTGAAGCCAGTTTCCATAGAGTTTGAGTTTTCTGCTAATGGGCGACCGACAGGAGAAGCTAATGTTGACTTCGCTGATCACCAAGAAGCTGTTGATGCTATGAAGAACCATAAGAAAAATATGCGTAAGATAATTCAGTGTGTTATTCTTTGCATTTCACATATGAAAACAATATTCACTGCTTGGATGAAGAAAAAATATTAAGTTATAATTTATACTGTCATACCTGATATTTTTAAGTTCAATAAAGAAAATATCTTAATTCCTATGTAATGTTCTACAGGGAATGTGATATATATAATTTGTATAACAATAGCAATACAGTGGCGTTTTTGAATGTGTATCCTTTTTATTTCAGATCACAGATACATAGAACTATTCCTGAACTCCACACCTACAGGACGTACCAACTACGGCTCTGGAGGAGGCTTTGGTGGAGGCATGGGAAGTGGCAACATGGGAAGTGGCAACAACATGGGAGGCAACAACATGGGAAGTGGCAACATGGGAGGCGGCAACATGGGAGGAGGAAACATGGGAGGTGGCAACATGGGAGGTGGAAACATGGGAGGTGGAAATATGGGCAACAACATGGGCAACAACAACATGGGCAACAACAACATGGGCAACAATATGGGAGGAGGATACGATGGAGATGGCTACGGAGGTGGTTATGATGGAGGTGGGTATAGAGTCAAGTAAAGTTGATGACCATATCACCGTAAACTTATGAAATCAAAATGGGAACGATTATAGATAATAGTATTTTCTCCAGATTTGAAAAAAATTGGGGGGCGTTGGTAGTGTAATAGAGGCAGGATATAGAACTTCATTGGGGGAGGTACACAATCCCCTTGTCTGGAGAAAACACTGAGATACCACTTCAATGTTTTAAAATGTTATTCAGCAACTATGTAAAACCTAGACTAAATCATACTGATGTTAAGGAGCAGATTTCTTGACCTTATGATGTCATAAATAAAGGATAATGTTGTAAATTTGTTGCAGATTTAGGTTAACATTTGAATTCTACCCATTTCAGAATTTTTCAATGAAGTAAAATGGATTTGAAATAGATTTTTTAATGAAAAAGAAAATTTAAATTACTATGTTTTCATGTTGGTTGAAATTAATGCGAAAGTTTACATGAAGATGTCTCAGAACGCTGCTTTTTCTGTTCTCGTATGACAAATACTGAAATACTGTTCAGTTTAATTTTGTCAACAAAAATTCTTTTCTAAATGTTTGGAACATACAAATGTTTTTATTTGTAATTATATTTATTGACTGATTTCTTTTCTTACACAGGAAACATGTCCAATAATTTCATGGGAAATGATGGAGGCTATGGAGGTGGCAACATGGGAGGCAACAACATGGGTGGAGGGATGGGAATGGGCAGTGGTATGGGAGGAAACAATATGGGAGGCGGCGGCGGCATGGGGGGAGGAATGAACAACAATCTGATGGGAAATCCCAACTACACAGCTTTCTAAGTATTTACAAACCATGGACTCTTCATCAACTGATCTAGTGGTTACAAACAGACTTTGATTGGAAAATGTGTTGTAAGATGAGTAATCTTATTGTAGGAAACAATCTTATTTTTGTATAAAGTTGATGTACATGTGTACTCTTCTTATCAGTGTCCTATTCGCAGTGGACTAGCGTGTTGTCAATATGTTTGTTTTACCATTATCATCATGAATTAATATTTTGTCATAATTGCCATCAATCACTATTAAAATAAACATGTACAAAACTTTATTTCACTTCTTTGTGTATTTTTAGCCTACCATCATCAGATGGTTGGCTGTTCAAATTCCTTTTCATTAGTGGTCTGTTCTTATACATGTTGAGCTCACCTGGCCCGGAGGGCGATGTTAGCTTTTGCTGTACTGCGGCGTCCGTCCGTCCACTTTTTCTAATAAACGTCTTCTTCTGAAGAACTGGAGGACCCAGGGACATGATATTTGGCAAGTAGGTACCTGGGATGGAGTGCTACAAAGTTTCCTCATTAAAATGACCTTGACCTACTTTTAAGGTCACATAGGTCAAATACGTTCAAAAATTCAAACAACAAATCCTGAGAACCATTTGGACTAGAGTCATGATACTTAGTAATGTTATGAAGACCAGCAGTGCGAATCTTTTTCTTAATTACAGTAATGAGGTCAAATGTCAACTTTAAATGCTAGTCAGGGGTTAAAAGCTCTAACAATCTTCTTCTCAAGTTCCATAAGGCCCAGGGTCATAATATTTTGCCTGTAGGTACCTGGGATGTAGCGCTATAAAGTTTCCTCATTAAAATGACCTTTACCTACTTTAAAGGTCACAGGGCTCAAATATGTGAAAAATTTCAAACAATATCCTAAGAACCATTAGAACTAGAGTCATGATACTTGTTATGTAGACCAGCAGTGCAAATCTGATTCTTATTCACAGTAATTAGGTCAACTTTGAGCGCTAGTCGGGGGTCAAATGTCAGCATGGGCTAAAACCTTTAACAATCTTTTTAGCCCACCATCATCTGATGGTGGGCTATTCAAATCACCCCGTGTCCGTCGTCCGTCCATAAACAATTCTTGTTATCACTATTTCTCAAGAAGTACCAGAGGGATCTTTCTCAAATTTTATATGTAGGTTTCCCTTGGTCCTTAGCTGTGCAGGGCATTTTTTTGTGACTGATCAGATAAACAACATGGCCTACAGGCAGCAATCTTTGATTTTGATATTGGAAGTTTGTTATCGCTAATTCTCAAGAAGAACTAGAGGGATCTTTCTCAAATTTTATCTGTAGGTTCCCCTTGGTCCTTAGCTGTGCAGGGCAACTTTTGAGACTGATCGGATAAACAACATGGCCAACAGGCAGCCATCTTGGATTTTGATAGTGAAAGCTTGTTATCGCTATTTCCCAAGAAGTACCAGAGGGATCTTTCTTAAATTTTATATGTACGTTCCCCTTGGTCCTTAGCTGTGCAGGGCAACTTTCAAGACTGATCGGATAAACAACATGGCCGACAGGCAGCAATCTTTGATTTTGATATTGAAAGTTTGTTATCGCTAATTCTCAAGAAGTACTGAAGGGATCTTTCTCAAATTTTATCTGTAGGTTCCCCTTGGTCCTTAGCTGTGCAGGGCAACCTTTAAGACTGATCGGATAAACAACATGGCCGACAGGCAGCCATCTTGGATTTTGATAGTGAAAGCTTGTTATCGCTATTTCCCAAGAAGTACCAGAGGGATCTTTCTTAAATTTTATATGTAGGTTCCCCTTGGTCCTTAGCTGTGCAGGGCAACTTTTGAGACTGATCGGATAAACAACATGGCCAACAGGCAGCCATCTTGGATTTTGATAGTGAAAGCTTGTTATCGCTATTTCCCAAGAAGTACCAGAGGGATCTTTCTTAAATTTTATATGTACGTTCCCCTTGGTCCTTAGCTGTGCAGGGCAACTTTTGAGACTGATCGGATAAACAACATGGCCAACAGGCAGCCATCTTGGATTTTGATAGTGAAAGCTTGTTATCGCTATTTCCCAAGAAGTACTGAAGGGGTCTTTCTCAATTTTTATATGTAGGTTCCCCTTGGTCCTTAGCTGTGCAGGGCATTTTTTTGTGACTGATCGGATAAACAACATGGCCTACAGGCAGCAATCTTTGATTTTGATATTGGAAGTTTGTTAACGCTAATTCTCAAGAAGAACTAGAGGGATCTTTCTCAAATTTTATCTGTAGGTTCCCCTTGGTCCTTAGCTGTGCAGGGCAACCTTTAAGACTGATCGGATAAACAACATGGCCGACAGGCAGCCATCTTGGATTTTGATAGTGAAAGTTTGTTATCGCTAGTTCTCAAGAAGCACCAGAGGGATTTTTCTCAAATTTTATATGCAGGTTCCCCTTGGTCCTAAGCTGTGCAGGGCTACTTTTGAGACTGATCGGATAAACAACATGGCCGACAGGCAGCCATCTTGGATTTTGATAGTGAAAGCTTGTTATCGCTATTTCCCAAGAAGTACCAGAGGGATCTTTCTCAAATTTTATATGCAGGTTTCCCTTGGTCCTTAGCTGTGCAGGGCATTTTTTTGTGACTGGTCAGATAAACAACATGGCCTACAGGCAGCAATCTTTGATTTTGATATGGGAAGTTTGTTATCGCTAATTCTCAAGAAGAACTAGAGGGATCTTTCTCAAATTTTATCTGTAGGTTCCCCTTGGTCCTTAGCTGTACAGGGCATTTTTTTGAGACTGATCTGATAAACAACATGGCCGACAGGCAGCCATCTTTGATTCTGATAGTGAAAGTTTGTTATCGCTATTACTTGGGAAGTATGGGAGGGATCTTTCTCAAATTTTAAATGTAGGTTCCCCTTGATCCCTCGTTGTGTTTGTTATATTTTGAGACCGATCATAAAAACAAAATGGATTAAAAGAAGAACTAAACAGATCTTTCTCAAATTGCAATGATCGATTCTATTTCTTTCACATTAAGTACTGTACTAGTAAATATGTGAAATAACAAACTCACTTTGAAGGTTGGCTTTCATACACATCAGTGTTAAATTTAGATTAAAAGTTACCTAAAGGTGCATTTACTGTTAACATGACTCGATCAAACAGATTAGAGGAAAGAAGAGAAACGATCGAACTGACAAAGAACTAATGAAGATGGTACAAAGGTGGGCGCCAAGATCCCTCTCGGATCTCTTGTTTCTCAAGTTCCGTAAGGCACAGGGTCATGATATTTGGCCTGTGGGTACCTGGGATGTAGTGCTATAAAGTTTCCTCATTAAAATGCTTTCAAGGTCACAGGGCTCAAATATGTGAAAAATTTCAAACAACAATATCCTAAGAACCAATAGAACTAGAGTCATGATACTTAGGTATGTTATGTAGACCAGCAGTGAATCTAATTCTTATTCACAGTAATTAGGTCAAATTGAGTGCTAGTCGGGGGTCAAATGTCGGCATGGGTTAAAATCTTTAACAATCGTTTTTCTCAAGTTGCGTAAGGCACAGGGTCATGATATTTGGCCAGTAGGTACCTGGGATGTAGTGCTATAAAGTTTCCTCATTAAAATGACCTTTACCTACTTTAAAGGTCACAGGGGTCAAATATATGTGAAATTTTTCAAACCACAATATCCTAAGAACCATTTGTACTAGAGTCATGATACTTTAGTATGTTATGTAGACCAGTAGTGTGATTTTTTTTCTCAATTACAGTTATTAGGTCAAAGGTCAACTTTAACTGCAAGTCGAGGTCAAAAGCTTTAACAATCTTCTGAAATTCCATAAGGCTCAGGGTCATGATATTTGGCCAGTAGGTACCTGGGATGAATTGCTATAAAAATTCCTCGTTAAAATTACCTGGACCTACTTTCAAGGTCACAGGGGTCAATAACTACATATGTCGAGAATGATTTGGCTACGTGTTATGAATGGCTATTCACATTCAAAATGACAGTACAAGGGAGGCAAGATTTTCAGTATCAATATCGCCATCATTCTCGTATTCCATAACCTGGAAGTGAATTTGATATAGACATGTACAAGACCCCTCCTTGACTTTACAAAGACCTTGTACTGGTGGTGGTGGACTAGGTATATTGTTAACTCGCCTGGTTAATTATGCTTTAACCACAACCTTGTTTGGACTTTTGTTGGCTCGCCACACAAAGTGCTGGTTTGTTGCCGTGTTCATCAACCTTTCTTTCTTTAAATAAATTCTTCAAACCATTTTGTGCAGTGTCATGAAATTTGGCAACTAGCTTCCTGGGATTAGCCCAACAAAAAATGAAGAAAACAAAAATGACCAGACCTACATCCAGGCCACTGGGTCAAAAAAAAGCCTCTTGCCAAAATTCATGGTCACTTGAGTACAAAATGTCAAAATCTGAACAACACTTATAAAATCTGAACTCTTAGATTCCAATGAAATGAATTGTTTCAGAGTTTGTAAAAAGAAATGACCTTTGACCTACTTTCAAAGTCACGGGTCACATTTTGGAACATAAAAACAAGTTCAAGATAATTTGCTCATAAATTGCTGCAAAAGCTTTGAAGTTTCACTGTAAAAAATATGTCTCCAAAACATGTCTGGTTTTAATGAGCTAAGATGCCTAAGGTCAAGACATCTGACCAGTGGCTGGCTCAAGTCCAGGGCTATCAAGTCTGGGATAACTAATTTTGAGGTGTTCAAAATTGATAGTGGAGTCCAGGGAAACCTTAGGATATATGTTGTGGATGGCTATGCTGCAGTCATAGGTCAAGGTCATTGTTACTAGAAATAGGATTTAACCATCATACTCTTCGTCATCGTGTTAGTGGCTGCATTTCTAGACAGACTTGCATGAAACTTCATTGGTATGTTTGCCTTGATGGGAATTATCTGTGAAAGGTCAAGGTCACTGTGACTTATACATTATATTACTTCCGCACTATTTAGTGATAACCACCAAAATTTGAGTAAAAAAAAGTTTAACTTTAAGTTAAGTTTGTCAGGACAATGAGTTGATTATTCCTAGACCGAGTTTCAGTTAATTCGGCCTATTAGAACTTGATTTTAAGTTTTAGATAGTTTTTTTTTATCAAAATAGCAGCCATGGTGGCCGAATTGGATTTTTGATGGACGTGAAAAAAACCCATTTTGCCGGGACCATGAGTTGATCATTCCTACCAAGTTTCAGTTAAATGGGCCCAGTAGAACTTGACTTTAAGTTTGAAATAGTTTTTCAAAATAGTAGCCATATTGGATTTCTGATTGACCCCAAAAATAACAACGCTTTGTCAGGACCATGAGTTGATCATTCCAACCAAGTTTTACTTAAATAGGCCCAGTTGAACTTGACTTTAAGTATGTAATAGTTTTTAAAATGTCTGTCGTGCTGGTCATATTGGATTTCTGATCGACCCGAAAAATAACAACACTTTGTCAGGATCATGAGTAAATCATTCCTACCAAGTTTCAGTTAAATAGGCCCAGTTGAACTTGACTTTAAGTTTGAAATAGTTTTTCAAAACGGCGGACTTGGCAGCCATATTGGATTTCTGATCGACCCGATAAATAACAACACTTGGTCAGAAAGTTGTCGGTAACATTCCCATGAAGTATCAATGAAATCCCTTTGACAGTATTTCAGCTTAAGTTGAAAATATAAAATGTTAACGGATGACGGACGAAGACGGATAGCAATAGGTCACTTGAGCTAAAGCTCAGGTAACCTAATAAAAACTAATCCACATGTAGGATAAAAAGTAGCTTTAATCTTCATGATTGAATAAGTCTGCAATATTGTATGAAGGTAAAGAGTTCAGAAAGACAGTAAGATAACTAAAAAAATCTGCAATAACTATCTATTTTATGAGCATACATATAAATATAATTTAGGTTGCAATACTAACAATCCTGTAAAATATACCAGAAACAAAACAATAAATTTTAGACAATCACATGGATGTCAAAACAGAGATCCTTTGCACACAAAAGTCTGTGGGTCTACTCAAGGAATGCTGAGGTCTGGGACTTGGTACACTTCCAGGTTGCATTGATGAGCTTGATAAAGCCAGTGTCCTTGGGTTTCTCCAACCCTCTCATTACACGCTGTTTCATCACCGACACAAACTCCCGATTGCTCAGCTGACCATCGTCTGCAATAGTCAAAGTAGATACACTGGTGATACACAAATACATAACAAATTTTGTTGCAATTTGGATAAAAAAACTCTAACTGCAATATTTATATCAATAGAAATACAAGAACAGAGGAGTCTGGAACAAAAAGCCTTCAATGATCTAAAATGTAGGCAAAAATCATAAATGTGTTGGAACTGGAACTGATACTCTGTGCTTCACAAAGAGGACAATATTGAACGCTTCCTGAACATAGACATTGTTAGATGGCTACAAGCAAGTCAAGGACATTGTTGGATGCTCACCAGACAGAACCAAAAATTATGTATTTTTACAGTAAGCTGAGGACTTTGATGTCAGGTATACAACACTTTTTACTTTGAAAAAATACTGTTTCACTAGTGCAAGTGCAGGGCTGTAGCTAAGCCAAACTGATTGAGGGGGCAAACTGAAACTAGGGTTCAGGGTTGAAGCCCGAATCTTTAAGCATGATGGTCAGGAAAGATATCTCCAATCTAAAAATATCTTGAACATATCAAGATATGTGTGTGTGTTTGGATGGG